CCGAACTCCAAACACTCCACTGGCCAGTGCAGGCAAATCAGAGTGTGGAACATGTTGAAATATGAACAGATCCACATATTTTTCAGTATCTTCCATCTCCTTCCATAATAGAAGAACCCAGTGTTTGTTTACTCAGCTGTACAGGTCAAAGTTTTTTATGATTCCAATGATTTTGCAAAAACATTCTTGCTGGACTTGAATAGAGCATCAAATATTTTATTGTGGAAGGGACCACAAGAATTGCTTCTGGGCTTTTCTGTTTGGGTTTTATTCCTTGTGGGTTTGCCCTGTGCTGGCGCCTATGCTTAGTGTTGACCAATAAGACATGTAGTTATGCATACAGGGTGTTTCTGGTGGGCGTCAGTGGAAAGGTCCTTGTTGCCAGTGTCAGGACCATGCTCCTGTGTCACAGAGGAACTGAGTGGGGGCTGTTGGTGCTGTCTGTAGCACAGAGGCAATTATGAACTCCAGGGGATGGTGCCTGCTGGTTGGGAGGACTGTCTCCTAAGATAGTTATAACCTTTATAAATAAGGAAAAACAGATTCCATCTGACAGAACGAAAAGCCTCCAAAATTCCCCCAAACTTTCCAACCTATGTTTGTAAGGTGCTGGCCGTTCTATTTAATGCTAGGATGCAGTGCTCTTTTTAGAAATCAGAAAATGGGCACTTTGGGCTTTAAATAGGTGTTTGTAAATGGCTTTCTGTATAATTATTGTTTAATTCCTGTTTTCTTTCTAAGTCAGGGATTGTCGGCCTCAGCACTCTTGACATTTTGGGCTGGATCGTTCCTGTTGTGGGGTGTTAGTTGCTGGGCTCACTGTAGGTTGTTCAGCAATGGCTCTGACCTCTATCCACTAGAGGTGTCAGTAGCTCCCCACCACATATGATAATAAAAATGTCTCCAGACACTGCCAGCTGTCCCCCGTGGGGGGCAAAATGACCTCTATTTGAGAAGCACTGCTTAAGCAAATGTGTGCTTGTGTGTGCTTGTGTGTGTGTGTGTGTGTGTGTGTGTGTGTATCTGAAGGTGGAATGTTAGTGGAGAAATGTGAAAGAAATTACAATTTTATTTACACTCAATTGTTCAAACATTGCTCTGTTGCCTAAGGAAAGCAGTGAGTTTGGAGCGGCAATCACACCAAGTGCTACCAAACTGAGGCTATTTATGGCATTACTATTACTCCTCCTGCATTTGGAATATTGTCTGCTTTAACTCAAAAATCTGGGGCGTATTTCCCTGCTAACATGGTTTAAAATTGTAGAGATAGGATGAACCTTAGAAACGTAGAGCCTTTAAGATAAATAAAAAAATTATATTCCATTGTGGTGTAGAGTTTGTATTGCATGGTTTTCAATCATGATTCTCGTATTTTAAAACAAAACACCACAGAACAGTCCCACATCTTCCCCCCAGTAGTGTTGGATCTCGGCCAAGTGGCTGCTCTTTGCAGTCGCCTCCCGCGATGCTGTTCACAGCTTGTCTTGGTTGATGACCCACTTCCCTCGGGCCTGAGCCAAACCTTTCCTACTCTTGAGCCCACTGACCCCCTTCACCGAATGGACTGCGGGCATCTGATGTGAGCCCCTCACAGTCCTGCCCTCCTGCCTCCCCGGGGTCGTCACTGCCGCCTCGGAACCACCCCCCTTGATCCCACCCGTGTCCTGTACTGTCTGGTCCCTCCCCACCCACCACTACTTCCTTTGGATTTTTCAAAGGCATCAGTCTTTTCTGCAGTGGCTGCTTTTCTCATGGCTGACAAACAAGCCCCCGTCAGATGCGCCCTAAAGGAATCCATGATCCCCTTTCAAGTCCCTCGACCGGTTCCCTTCCCCACCCAGCCTCTGTTCTCTCTCTCGCTTTCTTTCCTTGGTCAGGAAGGTTCCAAGCTCTCTCACCAACTACTGTGCAACCTTGAGCAAGGTCCTACCTCTCTGATAACCATTTTCTCACCTGAAGTGGCGAAAAACATATTTACCTCACAGACATGACATGAATTCTATTTACTTTTTATTTTTTCATAGATTTTTAAATTGGAATATAGTTGATAAATGATATTGGTTTCAGATGCACAACATGCGAATTGGCAATTATATTAATGCTCCCCACGGTAAGTATAGTTACCCTCTGTCTCTATACCAAGATTCTGCAATATTATCGGCTATATTCCCTATGCTGTGCTTCCTTCCATTCCTGTTACTAATTTGTTTCATAATTTTATAACTGAAGTTTGTATCTTTTAATCCTTTTCACCTATTTCACCCATTCTCCTGTCCCCCCTTAGTAACCAACAGTCCACTGTCTGTATTTATGAGTCTATTTCTTTTTAGTTAGTTTCTTTCTTTTTAGATTCCACATATATGTGAAATCATATGGTTTTTGTCTTTTTCTCTCTGACTTATTTCTTCTTTAAGTTTTAAAATTTTTTATTGAAATATCATTGATATATAATCTTATATTGGTTTTAAGTATACGACACAGTGATTCAACAGTTACCCCTATTATTAAATCCTCATCCCCACTAGTGCGGTTACTTTATGACTGACTGACTTCACTTGGCACAACACCCTTTAGGTCCACCCACAGTGTTGCAAATGGCAAGACTTCATTCCTTTTTATGGCTGAGAAATGTCCTATTGTGTATATATATCACATCTTCTTTATCCATTCATCTGTTAATGGATACATAGGTTGCTTCCCTATCTTGGCTACTGTAAAGAATGCTGCAACAAACATTTATCTTTTTGAATTATGTATCTTTTCAAATTAGTGATTTGGTTTTCTTTGGGTAAATACCCAGAAGTGGAATTGCTGTGTCATATAGTATTTCTCTTTTTAGTTTTTTGAAAGAAGCCTTCATGTGGTGGCTTCACTTTCTCTCCCGTTGTCCTACCAGACCCCAGTCACCAAGTCCTCATGTCACTTCCTCAGAGCAGTCTAATTGCCATGCTAGATACAACGTGTAGTTCAGCTTCTGCATCTTACAGTGCCCTGTGCAGTGTATACATTTAATAAAACATTTGCGGGGTTGGATGTAGAAACTACACAGAGCTGCAGCTGGTTCTGGGATCTGGGCCCTGCCTCTGGCACTTTCTGGCTGTGTATCCACATTTCTGTATAATGGAGACAATAACAACACAGTTACCACAGGATTAATGTGAAGACTAACTGAGTTTATAAACAAAAACGGTTCCTTGCATATTATAGTGCTCAACAACTGTTACCTTAGACTAGACATCATTAACTATCAACACAACCCAATACATAGTGATACCTGATTGGTTTCAAAGACCTCTCCCACAGTAACTAGTTCTTGGAGGACAGGGAGATGTCAAATTTGGGGCTTTGCTCTTCTTTACCAGTATATCCAATTCATATGGTGAAATGAGCATAACATTTAGACAGACCTGTGCCTGAATTCTCCTCTGCCACCTGACTTGCTCTGTGCTATGAAGCTACCCAATATCTCAGTTCGGGAAGGTCTTCCTTCCCCAAATGGGAAGCTCAGTGTTCCCATCTTTAAAATGAGGAGAGATCCAGTGCTCATGGCTTTCCCAGGGCAGCATGAGCTAGCCTGTGCCGAGAACCTGACCCCGCGGCAGGTGCTTAATAAATGTTATTTCCTAGAGACGGTCTCCACTTGCCAGTCCAAGTCCTCATCTTCCTACAGTTCGGTGACTGCACCTGTCGTTAGCTTGCCGCTGGCAGTCCATCCTCCCTGCAGCAGCCCCTGCCCTGCTCGCTGTTCTTGGCACACTTACTCTTCTTGGTCCCTAGGGTCAGCTTTCAAGGATCTGCCTCACTGTCATCCAGGTGAGTGCATAAGTAAGACGTATGTGAAAAAGTAAATCTGTTTTGGACTTTCGTCCACAAAGACCACTAGCACCCACCAAAGTGAGCTTGCTGGGGGTTAACAAGGACATGTCTCCAAAGAGAACTGTTTTCCAACAGCACATGAACAGAAGAACCACAGGAGTCAGGAGAGGACCTGGAAAGAGAAACTCAAGTAATGGCCATCTAGGAGCAAAGGAAAGTTCCCCTCTCTTAATCCACAGGCCAGCTCGACAGGACTGATTCATAAGGTAAAGTAATTGTGCTGGATGATGCGAAAGCTCCCAGCAGCATGACCCAGCAGCTGTTAGCTTGGCGAGCCAAGGAGATGAATGTGGGGTGACACCATAGATGTGAGCGATAAAGAGATGAAGGTAGTCCTCACAAAGCTTATAATATTTCTAGATCAAACTTCATCTTTGAGAAAGGCCAAGCATTTATTTTGGCAAGATGTTATAAGTCAAGATTTTCAAGACCTTTGTGGAAGGACTTGGGGCCTCTTCCCATTGCCCTGCTGGTGAAACCCAATCTCACCGGTTCCTTGGGACTGCCTGTGATCTACTCACTCCTCCGTTCTCTCAGATCCAAGTGTCACGTCCTGGCAATCCCTTCTTTCAAGGTTTGATGTTGCTCTAATTAATTCCTTGCTCCCATTTCCAGTGCCAGCCCCCAATCCTATCCTCTTCTGCTGGCTTTTTGTGCCAGTCCCTGGACTTACCTTTTGCTTTGTCAGACTGCTTTGACATTCCTGTCTCAAGCTTGCCTAGGAAGCACCGAGCCTCATGGTTCAAATCACCCAAGAAATCAGTCACCATCAACCCTCTTCCCGCCAACGGTCCTTGACATCTGCATGCTGCTGAGTACTGTTGCTTTGAGTTCTTTCCCTCTTGTTTTCTAGCTGCATTTAAAGCTCCCCAACACAGGACCATTTTTATGTGCACCCCTTTTTATTCATGGTGTCCAGTTCTCCACCACACCCCTGGCTCAGTATTACACACTCAGATGGCTCTTCATCAAGCAGCAAACACTCATGGCTTTTTGGTGAGTCATTATTTGATGCATTTTCATCTGGAGAACCTTGGAACTTTTTCTGAACTACATTAGATTCTAAAATTAGGAATTTGATATCACTGGCATAAACAGATGCATTTAAGGCAATTTTTTCTTACCCTCTTAAAGTTGCCAGCAATGCTTGAAACTTCCCCAATCCAAAACTTGCAATTATTTGGAAAGTTTCCAAATGGCATAGTTCTATTCCTGGAGAGCTGAAATACAATATCTGTGAAATTAATTTCTTCTGTAACCACTACTTAATCATAAACAATTATGACATTGAGCCATTATGATATGTGATGGGATCAGTTATCTAATCCCTGTAGATAGCTTAAGAATTTAGCCAAGGTTCCTTTACTTTATAATTTTTAAAAGATTACATGATTCAGCTCTTAGGGCCAAGACAATTGCCTATGAGTATTTAAAACAAGCAAAGGATAAAACTTTGCTTGTTTTAAAAATTCACTTCATAATATTATAGAATTTTTTCTATGATCTTTTCACATTACTTACAAAAACATTACCGTTTTTGATTGTAAGATTCACAGCAAGCTATTCAAGATAGTATGTAGGAGATAGTACAGGAGGCTTTCCTTATATCTTGAAATATATGTGAACTAATACTGGTACACTAGTGGAAGGTAGAGGATGTGTTTCCTTCCATAGTAATTCAGAAAAATGTAGAACTGCCCAGAGCAGGAGGTTTCGCAGACTGAGCAGGTGGTCTGAGCTCTCACCAGTTGGCAGGGGCAGGCTGGGTACCTGTCCTTTGGACTCTTTTCAATGGGTGTCCCCTCAAGGGCTCCCTCTCTTTCCGACCTGCCATCTCATCTGCTGCTTTCCCTTGCTTCACCCTAGCTCTCTATCTGGTCTTCTCATGTTAATCTTGGTCTTTTTTGCATCAGCTTTTTCTCCACAGGGAGGCATGGAGAGGACTGGTTAAGGATGAATCTCAAATGAGGGGACAGATTCTGAATAACTGAAATGTTTGCTACTGTGTGCATGTAGAATAGGAGAGACTCACGGAGGGCCCTCCAGCAACCCTCAGTATTAAGGGCAGGTGATCCCAAAACATCAAGCTGGCTTCTGGAGTCTGTGTAAATTTACTTTATGAAGTTTTCTTCTTAATTTAGACAACTGTCCTTGTGCAGGAAGTTTTACTTGAAACTGTAGCTGAAGCACACGTGCTCAGGGCCAGGGCAGGAGGGTTCATGTGGGAAGCGGCAGAGAGCAACCCTCCCCACAAAGGCATTCAGATTTTAAGTGTTCCCAAAGCCCTCACCATCCTAACAGAAGGGCTCTGTGCTGCAGGGAATCCCCATAAAGAAAGGCCTCTCTTAACCAGGTGTCACTGCTGCAGAGAATACTGGGTTTTCTCATTCCAACATATCTGACATGGGACTGGGGCTTTGAACCATGGTCCATGCCAGTTAAGGGCACAGGTAATGGTGCATTTCACAGAGTGTTCCAGGGAGGTGAGGCAGCGGGATCCCAGAGCCTGACGGACAGAGCTCTGCTGTGAGGACAGAGGAAGAGGAGCCCTCCCAGTGGGGCAGGCATTCAACCTCAGTAGCGGCCCCAGAGGAGAAGGGAGGGAGGGAGGGCTGGCGTGGATGCAGCCCTGAGCACCCAGGGCCTTGGGACCCACGGCCACCTCACAACTGTGATGACCAAAAATCCTTGAGATGGTGACTATAATTAAAATGCATACCTGTAGTGTTAAACTCTCTGGCCAGTTGAATATTTGCAAATTGAAAATTTGCCCAAAATGAACCCGGAAGTCTGCCCCGAGTGGCCGACTGTCAGTCCTGGACACTTCCTTGTCATTGAAGATCACCTTCAAATACACCGAGCGCCTCTTGACATCCTCCCTTCGCAAGACCTCGGCCCTGCAAAGTGAGACCATTAGCAGTTGAGATTAGGAAATTATCCTTAATTTTCCAGGGATAACTGGAGCATTTAACAAATGGCAGCTGGCCAGAATAAGATACACTGGCAGTCACTTTATCCATCACTGCACCAAAACAGACGCAGGTCTTGCAGAGCTTCATATAATAAAAAAGTGTGATAGGGACCAAGAGGCACTGAAAAGGCCACAACAGGTTTCAGCTGAGGTCCAGGCATTGCTCACCTCACTCCGTACGGTCTCCTTCATTTTTTCAAACAAGTCTTATGTTTGTGTCCAGAGTTTTAAGAAACATATTCCTTATTAAATAGAGTGAATTCAGTTCATATGGGTCAGCCAGGATTTATATTTGGGTAGGACATTTTATCCTAAAAATATAAGAGCATATTATAACAGGTCAAGTCTGTCTCTCCACCATCCAAGCTTTTTCTCAACACTTTAGATGGTGAGTGTCTGCTCATGGATGCAGGGGATTAAGAAATGTCCCTTCTGTTTAAAGGTATTTTAATTCCAATAAAAGATGTCCTAGCAAGCATATCATTCTTATAGGTAGGAAGTTAAAAAAAATCAAACCTCCAAGAGTTGTCTTTAATCTTACTGTATATATTTGCAGAGATGCCCACCCAAACTACCAAAATGTAAGGTATTGGTAAGTGAGTAACAGCTCACACTTGTTGAGGACTGAAGGTGAGAAAAAAAATCCAAAACACACTCAGGTTCTTGGCTGATAATGTTTTAAAAATATTCTGGAAAGACATACACAACATAACACCATGTTTACTATTTTTAAGTGTACAATTCAGTGGCCTTAACTATGTTGTGCAACCATCACCACCATTCTTCTCCAGAACATTTCATCATCCCAAATAGAAATTTGGTATCTATTATATTGGGTGGTAGGTGTAACTTTTTACATCTCCATTAGTTAGGCCCATCTCAGATACAAAGCTACTCAAATGACGTGAACATTTTTTTTTCTATTAAAAACCAAATTTCAAGAAGTATTGAAGATACTCAGAGACCCCACTCAGAGTCGTTTGAAGGCTTATTCCCAGAAGTGCTGTGCCTCTGCATGGTGTTCCACCCCCACCCCACAACATCACTGGTTCGGGGGAACCTGGGTTACAGCCCCAAGATGGGACTCATCACAACAGATTGCCAAATCAAGCCCAGATCTCTTAAGAAAACCTGTAATCACATACATTGAATGTTCATTACCAAACTACATGCTATACTATTTGTGGCTTGATAATAGCTAATTTAGTGCTGGGGAATAGTATAGGCACAGTATCTGATGCTATGAAGTTGGGTGAACACATGAAGTGTGCAAAAGGGCTACAACTTATAAACAAGTTGTTAGTACACTAACAGAAGTTTGAAACTCGGGAAGCTGTAGGAAGTCTTATAATGACATCCTAATTAATTTCCGCATCCTAAGTACTTCTGAGGATGACCAACTTGACTGATTTCTCACTTCCTCTGCTGGAATATTGAAGATTCTAGACTCAGGTATTCCTGTGTTCATAGTGAGTCTTCTATTTATTGGAGGTTTTAACTTTTTTTTAGAAGTGTGCAAGAAGGGCTACAACTTATAAACAAGTTGTTAGTACACTAACAGAAGTTTGAAACTCGGTAAGCTGTAGGAAGTCTTATAATGACATCCTAATTAATTTCCGCATCCTAAGTACTTCTGAGGATGACCAACTTGACTGATTTCTCACTTCCTCTGCTGGAATATTGAAGATTCTAGACTCAGGTATTCCTGTGTTCATAGTGAGTCTTCTATTTATTGGAGGTTTTAACTTTTTTTTTAACTTCCTAGCTATAAGAATGATATGCTTGCCAGGACATCAAGCCTGGGATCTGGTCATATCGGTTATTTTAATAGGTTCCCTTTAATTGATTATGATGTGCTACAGCATGCCTCAGAATCACCTGGAGATCTTGTGAAAACCCAGTTTTCTGGCCTTGCCCCAGAGTTTGTGATCCAGTAGGTCTCAGGTAGGACCGAAGAACTTGCATTTCTAACAAGTTCTCCAGTGATGCAGTCCCTCCCTGGCTGTGCTTTGAGAACTATTGCTATAGGGTGTAGGAAATAAATTAAAAAATATTTTTACTAAACTATAATTTTAAAAAAGAGGATGAACATAGGCATGCATGTTTAGAAATTTATTATATGTATAATACATAAAGGGTAGCTTCTGATTGTTTCTATCTTAGGCATCTGTGGAGAAAATGAAAGTTCTTACGGTGAGGATTCTCACCTGGCCCAGGTCACCTGGGTCACTGCACACGTGTGGGATGTTATTATTGACCCTGTATAAACAGCTCTGCCCAGTGCTCAGGGCTGAACCGTTGCAGGAGAGCAGAGGCTGGAGTGGTGGCAGGGCTGAGGACAGAGACTGAGACGACTGCCGGGGGAAGAGGCACAGAGGCAGGGGCCCGCTTGCTGCCTGCAGACTCGCCCTGAGGCTGATGGAGGGGATTCCAGCTCTTCACCTGCCACCGTGGGAATAAAGCTGGGTATAAACCCCAAGGACGTTCCATTGTCATTTTTCTGTCTGACTGAATCAGGAGTGAACTTGAGGGGGCTGAAACCCACTGGTGAGACAGCATCACATATGAAGGACTGGAAATATGTTTATCAAACTGGTGTGTTTCAGGTGGCCTGACTTCAATCCAAGCACAAGGGAACATCCACAGCCCCTATGGGAGGCTCTAGAGCCCTTCAAAGAGAGAAGCTGGCCTCCGGAGCCGCTGAGATCAAGGGCCAAGGAGTCAGAGAGACTGGGGTGTCTGGGCACTGCGCTGTCAGTGGACAGAAAAGACACGCAGTGGTTGCAGCAAAAACCGCCAAATTAAAGGCCACACGAAATGCCACCGTGAGGAGCGCCCCCTGCTGGCAGCCCTACTTACTGCGTCCTGAGAGGTCCGTGGGATGCATCAGGTAGGTGAACCTTATCAATCACCGAAGTATGGACAAATAGCTGCAATTTCATGTGTTCAGCCTAATACATATTTACAGAGTTAATGGTTCTTCTGATCATATCGTGCCGGTCAGCAGACGTACGCTCCACAGTGTGTGAGTGTGTGTGCACGCAGGTGCCCGCGTGTGTCACATGTTCACCGCATTTGCGGTCTGGCATCTGCTTACCTGGGACACTGGTCGTTGGGCGTTACGCTCCCCGCCAGGCTCAGCTCCGGGGCCAGCGCGGGCTCCCCGGGCCGCCTCCTGCTCTGCGCCGCTCTCTCCCTCACCTGCTGCTCCATCACCGCGCGGTCGGTGGGCTCCGGAGGGACCGGTTTCACAGGATCCTCCCCGGGACGTGGCTCCTCAGCCTCGTCATCGGGTGGTTCTTCTTCAGCTCCTTGTTTCTTTTTCTTCTTCTTGGCCCTCTGTTGGGTAAGAAGCAACCTTACGTAAGAGGAATTTTGGGGTTTCATTTAAGAGCACAGTCTTCAGAACCAGACAGGGAAGCAAACTCAGCTCCATCCCAGCCAGCTGCCTGCACTCAGGCAGGTCACTCACTGAGCTGCTGGATGGCTTCGCGCCTCAGTTTTCTCATCTACGAAATGGGGACAGTCATAGGAGACTCTTCCCAGGGCTGCTGAAATGAGGTAATGGCTCTAAAGCACTTACCACGGTGCCTGGCAAGTAGAAAGAGTGTAAAAAAAATTATTTGTGTGATCATTAATATGGGTTCTAAAGGCCAAGGAAATTAGAACAACTTGAAATTAAAGTGTGAGCACAACTGGCATTGCAGCTTGCCCTGATCTCTCACTGCCCTTGGATTCAGTTTTGCAGGGTCATGTGTGCAAACTCACACACTTTCTGAGGGAAGCCCAGAAGCATCAGTACCCTGTATTCCGTGGATAATGCATGTAAAATAGTTAGCACAGTGCTTGACACAGACATGAGCGATTACCATGTTTTTACTGGCTTGTTTCCTCAAATAGCCACAGAGTGACACCAGAGAGCTCTCTCTGGAAACAGCTGGCTCCGGTAGCAGCTAGCTGGGTGGCTTTTTAAACAAGTGCATTGATCAGTTCATTCACTCAAATTTTGTCCCCTTGCAAGGGGGTCAGCAGGGGGACAGAGCAGAGCTAGCAGGGGACCCCAGTGGGTGTGCCCAGTCTCCCTCCTCCCATCTCAAGGGCGCCTTCCCAGACCCCTCCTGTCCCGAGGGTCAGCCTGTTGCACCTGGGCCTTCTTCCACGCTTTCCACTGCTGGTGGGCTACTCTGTATTCTTCCAGCCTCTGTTGGTACTCCTCCATGGACTCTTCCCACAATTCACTTATTTCAGCTTGAATTTCTGCTTCATAGGCTGTTTCATCAGCTTCCTGCTCAACTTTTTCCCTTTAAAATAATTTACAGTACCTTGGTAATTTCTTGAAATTAAGTAACAGAGTTATAATAATAGCAAATACCTGTGTTGGGCTCACTATGTGGCAGATCCTCTTCTAAAAGCTTTGCATATGTCAGCTCATGACCTTGTGAGGCAGATACTATTACCATCTGCATTTTATACATGAGGAGACTGGCACAGAGAGGTTAAGTAAGTTGCCCAATAACACACAGCTGGTGAGTGGAAGAGCTGGCATATGAGCCCTCTATTTACTGCTAAGGAACAATGCCACTCTGAGTTAGATGATCCACCTGGCATCCTGACACAGTGCCTGTAAATTCTCAACTGACAGTAGTAAAAGTTTCATTGTAGTTATTTTATTAATTCTTCAAGTCTCTGAAGAACTACTTCAATATGTTGCTACCAAGTCTGTGAAACCATTTATTTGACTGTGGATGAATGATCTGAGTTTTTCTCTGCTGACACTCCCTTAGGAACTTGCCCAGATCCAAAGCAGTGCTCCCCCCGGGGTGTTCTGTAGAACATTAGGTCTGGGGGATGCCCTGCAAAAAAAGGTGCCGTGGCCAAATCAAACATTTGTGATCAAACAAATGTGAAAGTTTCCTTGTTGTTCATCTTTGCAGACAGGCTGATTCTCCAGGAGGGAGTGGAAACCATGTATCCAACACATGCTCCCTAGGCACTGTGGAGTCACTACAGCTCACCTGAGTCTCACAGCCTACGGCTTCGATCTGAAAGTTCCTGTCCCTTTAGAGAAACTCAGTCAAGTGCTTGTGCACACATGTTGCCTGGTGGCTTAGCAGCTAAGGGTTCCCTGGCACAGTCTCTTTGCAGATCTCTAGAATGTTCATGAAGAAATCACTTTGGAAATACAGTGGTACCTGAAATTTATAAACCTTGGGGAAATGTGGCTGGAGAATTATGTTCTACCTCTGATATATATGTATCAGAGAGAACCATTCACTCTTCTGCTTGTTATTCAGAGGCATGAATAAACTAGCTGAAGTTGGAATACTTTTACAGGAAAAACAATTATGCAGAGTCATAAAGTGGCTAGATGAATCAAGAATGTGAAAAAGGGGCACTCCACAAGAACTTAGGAGTCAGCTGCTTGGCGGGGAGGGGTGCCAAGTCTCACAAAAAGGAAGTTTGCAACTTAGAGATTAGTTTAAGGGCAAATGCCCTATACATTTTAATTTATCCTAAGCTTCTAAGGAAGGAAGGAAAGGAAAGAAAACACTATGGTCAATATTTATGTTCTGCTTCTGGGTGGGAGGGGTACTCGGGGAGATGGAATTTGGAAGCTGAAACAATGGGACTTCTGGGAGACACCCACGGTTTCTGTGGGACAAACTATTTGAATTTGTTTTTGTCGGCTAATATTAACTGAGCAGATAAGTGGCAGGTGCTCTGTTTGGGACCAGATATCTAATGGCGACAAGGCCCCGTCCTCATAAAGCACAGTTTTGTATTTGTTCTCAGAACAGTAGGATGTTTCTCAGTCTTATAATTCCAACCCCCTAAAATTACAACTTGTAGCTCCATTTGACCAAAACATGTCTGTTTTCAAAGCGAAGTATCAGATAATTGCCCACATTTGTCATTGCACGTAGTTGTAGGGGCACAGCACTTACTCAGAAGGAACAGTCAGGAAGGGACCAAAAACAGCAGAGACGCTCTTGAATTAACATACGGAGTGTGATTTTGTTGTAACAGCTGTACTCTTAATCATGGATTGAATCTAGTGAATTAGGCGCAAAAATATAATCAAAGTGTACTTTCTCCACACCAAACACAAAGATCGATTCCAAGTGGATTAAAGATAAATGTAAAAGACTATAAAGATTATAGGAGACAATAGAGTATCTAGGTGACTTGGGAGAAGGATTTCTAAAGCAGCATACAGAAAGCACCAATCATGAAAGAAAAGACTAATATATTCTAACTCTTTGAGAACTTCAGTTCTTCAAAAAGCTGTAAAGAAGAATGAAAAGACAAGCACAGAATGGATGAGGACATATATGAAAAGCATCATCAATAAATGTCTGCTGGCCAGGGTCTATGCCAAACTGCTACAAGTTATAAAAAAGATGGAAAAGACAGACAATCCAGCTCCAAAGCCAACAAAAACCTTGAGCGGATACTTCATAAAAGAGGAAATCCAAATGGCCAGCTCATGCGCAGGAAATACAGATTAAAACAAACTGACAGACTAGCAAAATGTTACTGTGTGACAAGGCCGGGTGACACGGTATGATATGGGTGATACGGACTGATGGGGACACTGGTTAATGTATAAATCTAGAAAAGGGTTTGGCCTCAGCATCTAAGTATTTGGAGAAGTTCATCCCCTAAGACTCAACAATTTCATTTCCAGTATATTTCTGGGAAACTTGGGCATGCATACTCTAAAAGACATGTACAAAAATGTCTACAGAAGTGCTGTGTATAACCACTGAGAAATAGAATTAACTCAATTGTCCATCAACAGTAAAATGGACAAGTTTTGTTATATTCATGTAATGAAGTATTATAAAGTATGAAAAACAAACTATGGCTATGTGCCATAAAACAGATGAATCTCACATTGTACTGAAAAAAAGAAACATACATTTACTCAAGAATATACACAACCTACTTTCATTTATGGATATCTTAAATACAGGCAATGGTAAACCATATGTTCTTAGGGATCTCTTGAGATGGCAAACGTATAAATAAAAGTAAGGAAACAACTATCGGAAGTGTCCAGAAAATGGTTACTGCTGGGATGGGGGGGATGTTAGTTGGGTTTAGGAGCACCGGGGCAGGGGGCTGCCCAGACACTGGTAGTGTTGTGTTTCTTAACCTGGGGAGTGGTTCCATGGCTATTCATTTGTAACTATTTTTTTTGTAATTATTTTTAAACTGTATCTATATTGTATACATTTTTTCCCATGCATGACACAGCCCAGTAAACAATTTTTGAAAGAAGCTTACCTTCTCAAAACAAGTTTCAAGGGTGTATTTGTAAACCTCTGGAACTCTCGAAGGGATTTAATCTCTTTCCAGACTTTTATGATGGTCTTGAGCAGTGTTCGATCTTTTTCTTGTTCTGCATCACGCAGTTTTCTTGTTTGCCTAGAAGGCATAATACATGGCTGTATATTAAAAAGTTATTCAGGCATGTTTCCAAATTTTCCAGAAGAAACTAATAATGCTACAGTGGTTGTATATTTGATTTGGTGGCTATAATATTAAGTCCTAGAAGACCAAAAATATGAATGCAAATTTAAAGACAATAGGATGATGATTTGTTTTGAGAGGTTATTTGATTTTGTTTTTTCTAGGTGAAGCTAACTTCAATGAAACTAAGTCTCCTTTAAAAATTCTTCCAACTACTATGACTCTTTAAACAAAGAGCCACCTTTGAAGTAATGAAAATAAGGGGCCCAGTAAATGCAATTCTCATGGTTTAAATTATTATAAACATAGGAAAGTATGCTGCTGTCCTGGTTAACATATTATTAAATGTTATATTAAGTATATTAAAGTCTGTGTTAACACAAATCACAAGTTCTGCATTTAGGAGATGAAGTCATGCTATTATTACTTGTCTTAGTGAGTTTTCAGTGCTAAATAGATTAATAAGATTTTTTGCTTGATTTGAAGAGGCATTATTTAAAAATGCTTTTGTTTTTACTTCCATTATTTAAAGTGTTTGGGAATTAGTTAATGCTTACTTCAACTCACTCTATGAATGATAACCAATTCCAGACCCAAATGTACTCTAATATGCCATCAAATAATTAGCTAATTAATTTAACTAGACAACTTTTTCTCTTCTTTTCTATTACTTTACAAGGGATTCAGAAGTGTGTAGGGGTAGGAAGTATCTCTGTTTTCAGGGAATTTATAGTTTAGCCTTATGAAACCGTGGAGGTGACATTTCATGAATTAGCACCTCCTGAGCTCCGGAAGGAAGACCTGACTCTATCCTTGTGATGACTTGGTCTGTGGAGAAGGTACAGAGAAGCACAGGGTCTGGCTTTCTAATCATTTGATGGGTGTCTGTGGGAAAGGAAGATGGCAGAACGTGACAGCCTGTTAGGGGTTGGGTGGCTGAGATTCAGGACCCTCTGAAGACCTTAGAACAACAAGAAAGCTGTGAACTAGAATAAGAAGCTTTCTTTTTGAGGAGCAGCAAATCATTGTGGTTGAGGGTCCAGATGTTGGAACCAGCGCACCCAGGTTCACATCTAGGTTGTTGCTTACTAGCTGGCCTTGGGCAGCTGGCTTATCATCTCCACATTTTATCTGTAAACTAGGGATGCCAGGAGAATCTACTTCACAGGGCGGTTGGAAGACGTAAAAGAATCATGCCTGACGTGTGGTAAGCGATCCACAAATGTTAATCTGTCCTCATCAAGTGGTCTGTTCTTCTCTGATGCCTCTAGCTGCTGTCACCCTGCCTCCTTTTTATAAACTGCAATATAAAATTATTTTGCTAAATTATGTGACTCCTGGAGGCCATCTGATAGGTTTTGTATTTCCATTTTTAGTACCTGAGAAATCAGTTTCTCAGAAATACTAAAAAAAACGCTAAGCAAGAAAAATTTGATGTATGAGCTAAAGAAGCAAAGAATCGCAAAAGAATACTTCACTACAGATTGGGGCCAGAGCTGTGGAGAAAGAGTTAAAAAGCAATTTTGACCAGGGATCCAGGTGACATTTTTCTGAAGCCAGATGCAGATGGGGTTTGGAATGTGGAGGGAGTTCCAGCCCAGAAGTGGGGGGCCACCAGCATCCAGATGAGATCGAAAACCACAGGACTGGGTTCAGCTCCAGAGAAAACATGGATTCAGGAAGGATAGGTTAAAAAAGAAAAAATATATGAGGAACTCTGAACATTCAGAAGCTGGGCAGATGAGGAAGATTTGGCCAAGGATGGTGAGGGCAGGTGGCTGGGGAGGCGCACGGACATCGAGGAGAGGGTGTAGGGGGGTGAAGGGAAGAGAACGTCTCCGTGGGCGCCTTGCAGGGACAGTGCCTCATGCTGCCCAGAGGCCACGTACCACGCGGGGCAGAGAGGTTCCCCTCTGCTTAGCAACACGGAGGTCTCCAGCGATTGTGGCAAGATCAGCGTCCGAGGAAAGGCAGGGCCAGGAAGGGGGATGGGCTGGAAGGTGCATGGGACGGGGGGAGGGGAGAGGGGAGAGCAGCATGGATGGTAAATGTTCTCCAACGGTTGGGCTGTGAAGGAACCGCAGAAATAAAGTGGTAGCTGGATGGGGATCGGGGGTCAGAATTGGCATTTGCTCAAGATGAAGCATGTCTGAGGGTAAAGATCCAGCCGAGAGGGTGAAATATGGCTCTTCTCCGGTCCAAGAATGCCCATGCTGCCTGCCTTAGAGCCGGCTCCAGTTCAGAGGACAGGCAGTGTGGTCCTGATGCCGCTCATGGAAAACAAGATGGAAAAGGCTTAATGTGCTGCTGGCTGAGGTTAGCTGCTCAGCCGAGGGTTCCACAGATGCCCGGGGTCTGCAGGGCAGCTGATCAGCAGCTCCTGGGGGCTCAGGGAACAGGCCCACTTGATGGGACATCTGGAAGAGATCATCTGCTTAGAATTTGCTTTACCACCTAGTGAAAGGTCTGTGAAGGACTAAACTCCACTCTTTCACTGCGTCAGAAATGCTGAATCTCAGAGGCTTGAATCGCACGGGTGGCCGCATAACTGCATCGGTCCGCTCACAGGGTCCCATCCGCCTTGTCTGTAGGTCTCACCCACAGGTCTGCTACTGTTTTTCAAATACTGATTAACAAATATAATTCTATATAAAACTGTCACTGTATTCAGAAGAGCTTTCGCCCCTTTTCCTTACCCAGTGTTTGCTAGAACAAAAATTACTTTCCCAAGGAGGCTGCAGTGTGTTTTTTTTTCTTAAAACATACTCTTCATACTTTTACAATTACAGTATATAACCATCACTAATTTGCTGGAAGAATTTCCAACTCAAGGCTAGATTGTAAAAACAGAAGTATACATTTAAACATCTTGATTATTAGTTCCTGTTCTAAGAATTTATTCTGTGGAAATACTCATATGGGCACACAAATATACATACATAGGAATGGTAGTGAAACTTAAATAATGAAAAAAATAGGAATAATACAAATATCTATCAATAGAGGATATAAAATTATGTCAGCCTTTAAACAATGATATAGGCTAGATGTACTGTAACAAAGGCCTAACATGCATTTTAAATAAAAAAGTTGCAAGATGGTACATGCAGTGATTTCTTAATATAGACACACAAACACATCTATGTAAGTATGAGTACAAATACACACAAATATATGTGGAAGAGCAGCAAAAAGCTGTTCCCACAGCTTCCCCTTTGGGATGGCACTCTAGAAGATGTTCACATTCTACATTATGTGTTTCCTTATTGTTTGGTAATGATCAGGTTTTAATTTTTGAATTTTAATTATAAAAAATTCCAAGAAATAGAAAGGGCCTGCAATAGCTACTATGACACTTGTTAACATTTTGTCATGTTCACTCAGAGTTTTGTTTAGGGTTTTTTTGAACAAAATATTAGAGTTGCAGTGAAGACCTCTCCCATTCCATTTTCTCTCCCTCCCTAAGGTGTCTTCTCTGTCTGTATGTACCACGCATGTGCGTACGTAGAACAAGAGTATTGCTTCAGGTGTTAAGTTTAGTGAACCATACACACAGCGAGTATCCTCTTACACCTGGATTTGTTCATTCAACATTGTCTGATCCACAGTGATGTACGCAGATCTAATCCAGCATCACTTTAACTGTGGTACAGACATTTAGTTTAAGACTCTACCAGATATGTTCATTCTGGTATGGGGTTATTTCTAGTTTCTTCCTTTGTAAACAATGCTGTGAAATCCTTACACACATCTCCATGTGCACATGTGCATGTAGCTCACTAGAGTACACACACCTAGAGCAGTATTTCTGGGTCTTACTTTACCAGCATTTTCAACACTGAGCTCCCCTGTGGCTAGGCTGCTCTCTGTAGTTGGTACTGTAGTAGTGTTTGTTTCCACCAGCAGAGCGTGCTAGTTCCTACTACATCTTCATTCCTTCTTGGACTTCAAATTCAGTGTTAATATCTTGGATGTATCTCATTACTTCACTTGGCATAATTTCACATGTATTCAATGCATTCAGAACAACTGAAAATATAAGATCTCAACATGTAGACATCTAACAGGAAAAAGTTCACTCACCAAATTTCAGATTTATACTCATTGATGGTTTTTTGGGTTGTGTCAAGAGACTTACGAGTTGTTGCTGGATTAAGACTCATCTGAACAGCATTTCTTAGAGCATGGAGCTTAAAAAGAAATGAATACAAGTTTTGAGCTAGAAACTTATTCCCAACTGCAAGTTACATGCTTGGACCCACTCACTTCTCCAGGGAAAAATGATGCCAGCTATCTGTGTATGGATGTTCAATACCCAGCTGTCTCCATACTTTTACCATCATGAACTCTGATACAGAGCAATAGTTCTTATTCTTAAAAAAATGGAGTAATAAAGAACCGTGTATACCCATCCTTGGTCTGTGGCCCAGATAATCAAACTGCTTATGACAAATGTTACTTTCATGTGTGCCTCAGAAGTAAGTTTTCTTTCGAGGCTAAAAGTAGATTTTTCTGGCTCCTGAAGGTACAGTGATGTTCTTGTGATGTAAAGAAACTTGTAAAAGGAAGTGCTGTGGAATCATGTCCTGTCTGGGCAATAAGGTTTTAAAGAGGAAGATGTTTGGGCTGATCAGAAGAACCAGCCCATCAGCAGGAAGTGTGGAAGAACGTACCTTGTCAGTAAGAAATTTTGCCTTGTTTCTTTGGTGTCTTGCAAGGTACTGGTCATACAATTGGGCCAGCTTGGCTGCCAGAACGTGCTCTCGGCTGAAACAGGGATGATGAGTGAAGATTAATCCTGAAATGTCAATGTCCAGTTGGAAATTTCCAGGAGGGTCTGTAGAGCCCATCAGGTGCTGACTTCTGTGGACGTATTTCACTGCCTGCCAGAGAGAGCAGAGTGTGTGTGGAACACAGTCGAAGCACTTACTAGATAAAGATCTAACTATGCATGATGGGAAAATAGATGCAAAATACCGCCCACCCTGGTCAAGCCAGGAGAATCTGCTTTTTTCCCTGTTTCCTGGAGTCCTACCACTGTAAGATCCTAACATTCTCAGGGCCCTGTCAGTCTCAGAACAGAACGGAGAGGTCCAGACTCTGTGTGTGGACGTGTGTATACGGACAGAAATGTATTCTCGCTTGTTAGATAAGGTGATCTGCTTTTCAGTTACTACTAGTCATCAAAACAGTCCCTATACTACATCTAGGGTAAAGCAGACACAAGTCTTCATTTACCAGTAAACTTGTCTTTGGATTGTATTGCTGTCTGCTTTGTACTGGGATTCCCAAGTAAGAACACATATTTTTCTCTCTAGCCATTCGATTTCATACTCTTTCCCCCTAGATTAGTAGACGATTAATGTATATTTAGGACTGGACTCCAATACAGTGTATCCTACATTTATTTTAATAACATAACAGGTTTTCTCCTATAAAATAACATTCAGTCTGTGTTTGATGAAAAGACCTATAGATTTTTTTAAATTAAAAAAAGTCCTTGTAAAATTGGGATGTGCTTGCAAATATGGTAGGGGTGAGTAAGAATGGACTATTTCTTAGTACCTCCCAAAATACGCTGAACTGAATCCCATTTGGATTTATAGGGAGGAAATCCCAGCCTACGGAGATCATATTTCATGCCTTATGAAAAGCTTCAGTTCTGATGATTGGTACCCTACACTTCGGACTGTGACAACGGAGGCCCATTTCTTTTTTCTTTCATTCAGATAAAATTATTCAATTATAACCTGCATTCATGTCAGAAGTTTTTAATCTGCATGTGGCCACTCTGTGTCTTATGACCAGCCAGACTACTTGGATTAATTAAAACACATCCACCTCAGAAGGACATGTACAACTAAATGTCATTCCACGGACTTAACAGGAAATTCCTCTCTAGTTGCTGTGCCCGTGGTGGTCCATGCTTGGCGTTCCTCTCCCCAGGGGGTCCTGGAGCCATGAGTCACTCAGAGGGCGGCCCTCAGGTTCCGTCTCATACTGTCCTTGGTGTAAGTCACGTGGGTGGCTGGGTTCTATTTCCCTGAAATGTTACCTATCACCGCACTTTGCCTCCTTCCCCAAATCTGTGTTAGCGCAAGTTCAGATGGTCGCTGGTGGTCTCTGCCTTAAGTTCAGCTCAATTAAGTTAAAAAACCTCCAAGAACTCCTGGTAATCATGGGCTAGACTGCCCCAAAGACCCCAACTCTCTTCTTATTAGGGAGAAAGAGTCCAGTTCCTTGTTTTTCTTTTTGTTACATCTGTTTGCCTTTCTTATATCCTGACTCCTTTTCTTATATTCCTTTTTATTACACTCATAACTATAATGTAAACAGTAGCACCAATGTCTTTGAAGACAAGAGATAAAATACTATTCATAGGGCATATTATTTTAATTTGGAAAGTGGCTCGATTCTTTAGTCTTCATTTGAAAGCAAACACCAGAACTGTCAGAGGTGATGCTTGTCTGCTAGGGCACTCAGCACACACAGAGATGCATGCCAATGGAGAGAACATTTTAAAGTTGTACAGAGAAAAGAATAATCCCTGGTGGGATTAAAAAACCAGCTTCTGTGTTTGCTCTGGGCAAATAATAGTGACAGAGCCTGAATCCAGCCTGCCACCTTCAGCAGATTCTACAGCCATTGTTCTGGTCTTCCCTGGGCAGTCCCCATCTTCTGGGAATTTCTCCTGGATATGAGGTTTGGGGGAGGGGGCCCATAGCCACTTACAACTGGCCAGCTTGTCCTTTGTACAGATAATGTGAGCCTTGGGGAAAGAGATGATCCTTTCCTCTAGAACTGCTAGATTTGGATTATCAGGGGTCATCCATCCCCTAACATGTGGAGAATGCTGGCCTGCTGCCTGGGAGAGAATGAGGCCAGTCAACATTCAAGGAGAACCAGAAAAAAGAGGTGGAGAGAGAGATTGCTGGCAATGGAGTCCCTGGTCCCAGCCCCTGAGTTCCTAAAGCCCCTCCTTCGGTTTTACGATTTCTCTCCAGCCCTTTTCCAGTTTTGTGGGCCACCAAGCTCTCTCTTTGCTTAAGCTAGTTTGCACCAGGTTTCTGTCCCTTGCAGCCCAAAGAGCCGCCTAATACAGTACTTCTAACAGACTGTGCAACGTTATTCTGTGAAAACAGGTGAGAACAGTGGGAGGGAAAGTGATCACTTCACCAAGTGGTGATGTAATTAAGGGGGCTGGAATCACGATGAACTCCTCAAATTGGTAAACAGTTTTGAAAAGGGGAGGCTCCCACACACATGGCCCCAGGAATGCCAGGATGACTTGTAATCCCAGTGTCTTTAACTCTGATGGCGTTTCAGTCTCCCCACATGGCAGACAGTCTCTCTAGGGCGAAGCATCCCCAGGGTTCAGCACCACTGGGACTATGCAGACTTTCAGTTGTATTTCAGACTATAGTAGACTTTCTGAAGAGACTTTTCACTATTAGTGAACTGAAGACTGTCAGTTTTACTAATTCATTGCATGCAATGTCCCCTTTGGCATTTGTATTTTTTTTTGTTTTGGATTAGTTCCTTCTTAAGATGACTTCATTTGACTTATTCCTCATTTGAGGTTTAACTTTGTTCTTTGCACAGTATCTAATCTCTTTCTGCATTTCTTGGTTTTTAATAGTCTCTCAAAAAGATCTCCATTTAGGAAGAGTGGGTTATTTCACTTTAAAAAATTACTTTTTTTCCCTCTATAATTAAGGAAGATGTTAAAAAAAGTAGGGCTGAATATGAACTCCCTTCTAAACAAAACTCCTAAATTGTCTAATGGGAAGGCACATAATCCATCATATGAATGGCAATCTAGTATTTCAAATCAAAGAATAACCGGCTGACTCTAACGGGGGTGGGGGATGGGGAAGGGTTTGGTCAAGCCTGCGGGTCATCGTCCCACCTGTGAACGCCGAGGCACAAATTCATCAAGCCTCCATTAACAGCCCAAGGAATGGCCAACTCCTGATCCTGCTTGGTTTCCCATCACTTGGATGCCAGAATTAAGCCAGGTTCTAGAAAAATCATGGCTCTGCTGGAGAGACAGCTGAGGAGTGGAGTAGAAAGGAAGGAATTTCTTCCAGATCCATTCAGTTCAGCTAAATCGTTTTAATGATATTCAATTTTTACTTCTATTGAGTTGTTCCTATGTGCCAGCCTCCTCCTCAGTGCGAGGGGGAAAAGAAAAAAACCCAGTCTTTGCCCGGGATCCACTTTCAGGATAGCAGAGGGGGGAGAGAGATGGTGGATTGACAGGCTGTGAATCAAACAGCCTTTGCCTGTTTATTTCTCTGCTCCTGCATCAGGTCAAAGCTCCCAGACAAAAGGTATGTTTGGACATAAGATGCAAAATATAGGCCATGGGCATTTAATAGTTTTTCCTAAAGGCAAGCCTATTACATGTAGCAAAAGCATGGGTTTTGGTATTGGACAGATCTGAATACATGTAGGAAAGGGTAATAGTAAATCAGTAACACTAGAAAAATGATTATTTTGAAAGAAATGCATTATGTTTTGAATCACAGGAAGGTTCCACGACCATATTAAAGAGAAAGACTGAGATTTACAAATCAATAGAAAGGTTACAAGTAGCTTGTTATGGAGAAAGAGAGAGACAGGTATAGTATCTCCTCCTGTAACTGAAACCCCTCTGCATCTTTCTCATGCTTTCTAATGTACTCTTCACACTTGGCTCCCTCTAAGAAACGATCTTGGAAGACTCACGCCCTTTGGATTTCTCCCTTCCCCAGCTTCTGCTCTGTGAGGCTGGGTGACCAGTCCCTCCTAGCGGAGCTGTCTGTTTCTCCACTTTCCTAAGAAGTGTCTAACTGGAGAGTCAGCTGGAGCCCAAGATCCACTGGTCCACGTTCTCTGTTGGACAGTAACCGGTGAGCTCTAAGGTCCTTCTCAGAGAGCCTGCTCATTGGCCCCATGTGTCCTCCTTGACACTCTGTATGGGACTCACCCGGGCATTTCTCTAGCTGCCCAGCTTGCGTCCAGATGGGGAACATAATTCATGGGTGATGGAGCCAGAGCCTATCTGGTCTTGGGTCGAAGGGGCATTCTGCCACCCAATTTTTCACTCTCACTTTACTCTTAGTGCAACTGAAATCTGCAGCCCTCTCTGACTCCAGTGCATTTCCCAGTTAGTTCAGAACTTCTGAAGGAGACAGATAAGACTGATTGGCTCCCTCAGTACCCCACTGGCCATAGTAATTACTCTTATGTTTTCTAATTTTAGCCTATAATTTAGTGATTTATTATATCAGTGTTTCAAGCTGAAATGGGTGGATGGGTAAAGAGATGGGTGGATTATTAGATATATGCATATGTTGGTAACTGTCTTGATCACTAATTATATCATGTGTCTTTGTCATATAAACAAAGGATACATCCCTCATGGACTGGGGCTTAGGGTTAATGCTCATTTTGTAAATCTACTTCCTCCCTGGATCACATTTCTTCACAAAGTAGCTACTCATTAATACTTGCCTGTAATTAACAATATTTTATAGAAATGCACATTTAGAAAAAAGGCATACAGATATGCCATCTCAATACAAGGGTCCTATGAGTAAAGAAGATTATCATTGTTCCACTTTTTCAATCAAGGAAGTGGGTCCAGAGGTTAAGGGACTTGCCCAAAGTCACAAATTAGTTAGTAGGATAGCCCACCTCTGCTCAGATTCTCTGAATTGTGCTCATGTTTTCTCTGTTCATCACCGGGCTTTATAGAATGGTGGAGATGGTCCTTGCTCAGCACTTCCAGAAAACAGGAACAATAAAATTAAACTTGAAGGCAGGCAGGTATCTGTCTATTTAACATGAGCCAACACTTCCTGTGCTCTAAGCACTTATGTGTATTATCTCAGCCAATCTGCACAACAGCCCTAGGAGGTGGTTGCTATTATTATGCCCATTTGACAGATGAAGAAATTACAGCACAGAGAGATCAGGGGCCGCTTGTCCAGAGTGTGGTCATGCCAGACTCAGCTCACGCAGCTTGGCACCAGACCTTAGGAAAACAGTGAAGAGGACGTGCCGGGAGAGAACATTTTTGGCTATATGGTAAAGAGAACACAAGTGGGAGTTAATCCTGCAGTATATGTGAGATGCCAGAGAGAAAAGAAGGCAATTAAGGGCAGTCAACCTGAATGTACAAATAAAGACGCTGACTTGGCCATTCCTACCCTAGGAAGGAGATGGGTGGGTACCAGAGACTCACTTGTATTATATGCCTGTTGCTTGTGCTTTATGTGCAAGATAGGGAATTACTTGAAGGACCTGCCAAATCAAAGTAGTACGGCATGGGTTTTGTTCCCCAGCTATTCAAAGAGCAAAGCACTTTCAACCACATTCATGTATTAAAAATGGCAGGAGGGTGCTTACCTTTTTATACAAGGTTTCAAGTTCTGCCTTAATCTCTGGCTCCTGTGCCAAGGTGGGTGGCCTTGAAGGAAACGCCTTGATGGGGTTTGGCAGGGCTAGGATTCTGCCATCATCTCCGAACCACCTTCTCCCCTGCAGATCAAGCAGAGGGAAGGACAACATTTTCTTCTAATCGGCCAGAAAATGGTTTACAAAATAAACATTTGCAGGAAAACTTTGTGTGAACATACACATTTCATGCACCCTCCCCCTGTCCCGGTAAATCTTTTAAAGTGTCTGTTTCTATTAAAGTCTTCACTAACACCCCCTAGAATGAATTTAAGAGATAGTCCTCACACCCCGAAAAAGCTAAAGAAAAAGCTTAAATGAGTGCTTAAGAAAAAACTTGCTTTCTATTCATTAAACATTTAAGAGAAAACAAAGCCACAAGAGAAAAACAATCACGAATATTCTTCCTGGGGACAATTAAACATTTCTAAGGGTTGGGAGAGGGTTGCCAACATCTGATTTAGCAGAAGCCTGAATGCAGCTGCAGCAGATGGGTTCTGAGCAGTGGAGAGGTGCGTTGTTTGAGGATCACTCAACATACCAAGAGACAAATTAAAAGAAGATATATCGAACCACTGTCTGTGGACCCAAGAGGAAATGGGTACAATGGTGCAATGACTGCCCAGCCAGGAGCAAGAACTTCTATGAGTCGCTCCTGGGGGCAGGGGCTGTGTGCTTACGGGCTCCTGTTTCAGCAATCGGTTCTCCATGATGTTCTGATTGGCACGTGGCACCTCTGGCCTTGCCCCGATGTATAGACCTTCGTCTTCCAGGAATCTGGGTTGCACGTTCTCAGGAAGCTTTTGATACGTAGGCACTAGATAGTTTACGAATAAATACGAGCAACATTAGTGCCAGCTTAAGCATTTCAAACTGCAAGTTGGTGAATTAAAACCACTGGAGATTTCCTTATGTTCTTATAAACTGCAAATGCAGCAAGTTAATTTCTACAAGTGGAACCAAGAGAAAGATCAAAGTGCTTACTTGCAACAAGATCATGTTGTAGATGCATGAAATGATTCAGTAACTCAGCAGTGTGGCAGGCTGGGAGGGCCGGGAAACGCAGGCCAGACAACCAGCTTGCTTGCTCATAAGTGTATGCATTTGGCCAGGCATTCCTTTGAACTCTTTCTTTCTGTACAAAAGGGATGAGAATACCTACTCATTGGGTCCTTGGCAGAATGCAGTGAAGTAAAGTATGAGGTGTTGACTGAAATCAACACGACTGTTACATTTAGGAAAGATAGTTTATGCACAGTCCTGCTGAGGACCGTGGCCCTGGAGCGGCCTGTCAGGGTGCTCTCATAAACTACTCTAAAGCCCCTTGGGTTCGGAGACATCTTAAGGACTTTCTCTACAGAAGAGAATACACGCAGGAAAGATGTTTACATTTATCAATACATCAACCAGTGTGGCATGCATACATCTAGTTAGTGTCCTAAAGGACCATGCTGGACACATTCCAGGGCTATCTGTATATGTGGCAGGGGGCAAGGAAAGGGTCTCATTAGGTGGATGACCTCATCTGCCTCTGGGGATGGAGAGGACACATGGGACATTATCTTATCACTGCTCACCAGGAAATTCCTGACCGGCTACATTTCTGGGGGAGGTTGAAACTATTGACTAGGTTAAGTATGAAGCCCCAGTTCGGTGATGCGGCCTGGCAGGAGTGACACTGTGTTGGGTCTGTGTCTTCCTTTTTAACAGAGGAAATGCTTTGTGAATTTCCTTGTTCATTTGTCCATTACTTCATTGATTCCCTCACCCTGATTCACTCATAGAACAAATCTTTTCTGAGTCTCCCTGTGCCAGGCACTCAGGGGGCTCTGCAGAATCAGGGGGGCCCCAGGTAGCAATTGAGCAAAGGTCCGAGCAGGATCATTTCAGCAAGTGGTAAGTATGGAGAGGAAAAGGTCCAGGTGAAGGTACCTCCTGGCGGTGCGGGGATAAACGCGAGCAATAGTGCTGGAGAAAGGCTATTCTGTGAGGGATGCAGGCCCAGACACCTGAAGGCTGAGAAGGAGGGCGCCAGTGGTGGGACAAGGAAGTGTATCTGCCTAGGAAGCAGGTGTCCTAAGGAGTGGGTGGGTCTGAAGACAGTGATCCCCCAATGCTGCAGAGCTGTGACGGGGGTGGGGTGCCCTGCAGGTGAGGCTGGTGTAGCGGCAGGGGGTCAGGGGGAGCAGAGAGAGAGCTTGCAGGTGGGGGGGGGGGGTCCACTGAGGGCTCTGTCCTGGGGAGTGGCCGAGCGGACTTTCAGTTCTAGAAAGATCACCAGCCTGCTTTGCCAGAGTGGGTTGGAGGAGAAATAGAAGAGCCAGCAGAGGCTGGCCTAGGAAGTCAGAATGATTTGGGAATTAACAACTAAAGGTGGAGACTTGCTTTTGTTTCACTCTAAACCATGCCAAATCCCTGAATGTGCTAATTTTCCTGCATGTGGCCATGTGGACACCCTGCATCCCAAACCCATCCACAGAAAACAACTCATGCCAGGAGTCCTAGTAAACTCAGCTCCCAGTCCCAGAAAACTTGGGCAAACTATTGTTTCACTCTTTTTTTTGTTCCCCACCCATCCACTTGCATGTCTAGACATCAGTGCATCAAAACAGTTTTGGGTACTCACCATATATATATTATGTATGCACCGTAACATGTTCAAAGTTAAATTAAGAAAATGAGATTTAAAAATAAATGTAAGTAGAAGTCTTCATGCTTTGTTCCTACGTCTCTGGGTGGATGTGCCCTGCTTTGGAACCACCGTCTAAACAGCAGCAAGAGTAACAGCAACAGGGACACAGGCTGTTATTTTTGATCCCCTGCTCTGTGCTTGTCCAACAGAGACACTTCACGCATATTATTTCCTCAAGGCTCAAGATAGAAATCAGTGCTCAGAATCATCTTATAGGATAGCTTCCGTGCCTCCGGTCTCCTGGGGGGCACCTGAGACTAGAGGCACTCTCCCCAGGTCGCACCTCAGGAAGGACAGGAGGGCGGAGCTGGGCCTGTGTGGCTCCCAAACTCCTGGGGATAGGTCCCCTCCTCACAGGGCCCCCCCGCTAGGGCAGAGCAACACGGAAGATGGCTCTGAGCTCTGGCTCCCCACCCAGAGCAAGCTGCAGAACTCCCTAAACCTCTGTCAAGACCACTGCCAACTCCTGTTTCCAGCCCTGTGTGAGCCAGCTGTCGGGGCTCTAACCTCCACCCCCAACCCAGCCAGGCTGCAGGGAGAGTCCTAACCGTGAGTACTCTGAGCAAAAGCACAGGTGACACAGCTCCTCCTTGGCTGGGCTGCTGCACGCGCTTCTCCAGACCCCTAAGGAGCATCAGGACACACTGTGCTAGGCACATGGCCCTGGAGCAGGTCACCCACATCAGCGACCTGCCTCCCTCACTTTCCTGGCTTCATGGTTGTGGGCCAGTCCCTGACTTCTCTCTGCTTCTACTTTTTCATCTGTAAAATGGGCATAAAAAGACCCCTTCTCCAGTCTTGGGGTGAGGCCACGTTACTTGATACACATCAAGCACTAGAAAACTACCTGGTGGAGTAAATGCATAGAAGGCATTCACTCTAATTATGATTATTATTTACCATTGCAAGTTATAACCTTTGGGCCCTTTTGTCAGCTACCTACTTGAAAAGGAAACTTGGGATGTCCAACAAATTGTAATACTTTGAACACGTGATTGAAAATGACTCATCAAAACATAACAGTCCTGTATCCTTGGCTCAGCATTTAACTGGGACTCAGAACCCGACAAACGAAAGAAATCCAGCTTCCAAGTAAGGTGAACGCAGGCCCCTTTGCCAGCCCCAGGGGGCTCCTTACAGCACTCAGGCTGCAGTGACATTTTCAGTGTGTATCCTGAGCTGCAGAGATCCTTCAAGCCCTCTCAGGAGAGAAGGAAATTCCAGGGCAGAAAGGGGGCAAGGAGCGGCAACCAGGAGTTAATTGTGGTCCCGGCAGCCAGACCCTGGCCATTTCCCCTATAGCCGCTGGTGGGGCCAGTGTTTCCTCCGACCCGTGGAATCTCAGCAGGGACAATGTCCTTTCGTGTGCTAATGAGAGGGCCGGGGCTGGGACCTCCCGAAGAGTCCCTGACCTTACTGGTAGACAGGAGAAGCAGCCCTGTGAGTTGAGGGCTGGGACTTACAGCCCTCACACCCCCACCACCTCTGGGAGAGGAGGGACTAGAGATTGCATCACCGAGGTTAGTGATGTAATTAGTTGCGCCTACATAGTGAAGCCACCCGGAATATCCTCCCTGCAGAGGCTCCGCTGTGAGAGCTTCCTGGTTGGTGACTGTGGGGAGGTCCTGGGAGGTGCTGCGCCTGGAGAGGGCCCGGAAGCGCTGTGCCCCTTCCCGCATACCTTGCCCTATGCAGCTCTTCATCTGTATCCTCCATCATTATATAAATACAGCAGCTATGAGGAAGTGGTTCCCTGAGTTCTATGTGCTGTTACAGCAAGTTATTGAGCCTGAGGAGGTCATCCTGGGGGTCCCTGATTTGTAGCAAAGTCAAATAGAAGTGTGGGAACCTGGGGACCCACTGGCTGTGATTGGCATCTGTAGTAGAAGGCAGTCTTGTGGGGCTGAGCCCTTAGTTTGTGGGGTCTGTGCTAAGCCCAGGCCGGTAGTGTCAGAATTGAATGGTGGGACAGCCTGCTGGTGTCGGAGAATTGGTCAGTGTGGGAAAAACCTAGGCACAGAAGTGTTCAAGAAGTGTTGAGTGTGAGCAGAAGATGTTTTTCGTTTTCACAGCTGGGATCTCAGAGTCTCATATACTCTGCCCCCAAAACTGGCCACTGATTTGATGCAGGGCCCTCATCCCCCCGCCCCCACCAGCATCCTGGTATTTCTTCTGCTAATGCAACAGTAAATGTTTGTTGAATGAGTATCTTTCCATGTTCTATACTTTTAAACGGAAGATATTTCTTGATTATTAAATCAGATTAGAACTTGGGACCAGTTGTGCACATGGGACCTCCTTGCATACCAGCCACATTCATCTGAAGGAAAATGATGCTGCCCAAGGCAAGGAGGAAGATAAAAAGGGCAAGTACCTGTCTGCCTGCTGGGTGTGAACAGGAGCTCTTTTTCCATCTGCAGCCTAACATGGATGCTTTCGTAATCTGCAGGTCTGACTGCCACGAAATCTTCAGCCACGTGCTCTAAGCCTAATAGGAAATCCTCAGCATCTTTACCATTAAGCAGCTCTTCCTTGTCCTGCATTACATCAAAAAATAAGAGGTCATGCCAAGATTATTAGTTTTCTTAGGAATAATGATAACGTTAAACTCATCAAACAACATATTTTACGATGAAGTTACCTTTTTCATTTATTAATCTTTTTTTTAAAAATGAAAACATGAAACTATGTGGTCTTTCATATTTAACAAAAAGATTTTCTTTGTTTTACACTATTCTACGTACTTGGAAAAGGTCAAAATCAGAATGGGCTGAAGAGACCTGCTAAGCTTCAGAGAACTTATCTACCTTTCAGATTCTTGGTTTTCTCAACTCTAAGATGGAGATATTAGTAAAGATGACCTCTTATGGTTTTGTAGGTATACAGTTAAATGACACCTGTAAAAATTCTAAGCACAGGACCCGTATTCACATATGTTAGCTGAAGTAGGTTAATTTTGTTTAATTATTTTCCAAACTTTTTTCCCTCTTTCCTTCTCTTCTCCATTTCCCTCTTACTAATCTCCTTCTCTTTCTCCTCTTTCTTCTTTTTAAAATTGAAGCCTGGTGGCCTTTATGAGCAACATTTTAACAAATCCTGTGGAGATTTATGGGTGGCTGAATATAGTGGGGGTAGCGCAACTCTCTGCCTCCTGAATTTTCTCCCCAACTATACAAAACGGGAAGGAGAGAAAAGGAAATCTACATGATAACCACTGTCAGCATAACTTGAAGACAGAGAATTTCAAAAGCGTCAAAAAAATAAAAAGAGAATAAAACCCTGCTATCAGTGTGTGATTTTTCTTGCTTGGACCCACCTCTGCTTTGTGGTGAGCAAAACAGATGGAAAAAAACTGCAGAGAAGGCAGAAAAGGGAAGCTAGTAAAGAGGCCTGCAAATGATCAAAAACCTCCGCTAAGGACTAAATCCACTTTGATATGAGATCCTGAAAAGGATCTGTGCAGATTAGAGCATGAACTATGAGGAAGGGGCTTCAAAGTGTGCATGATTTAAAGGGGCTGTTAGAAACACACAGCTCCCAGGGGAGAACAAGCCAAAAGGAAGCGGCTTTTGGAGAGAAGTGTCGTGATTCAAGAAGCGCACAAATCTGCTGAGAGTCGTGTCTCCCAAAAGCAGACCCCGCCTCTCCTCCTTGCTTCTAATACGCGCAATATGAGCATGGGTGTGTGGCCTCTGACACGAGGTCATGAAAGGCACCTGGCTTCCTCCTTGCTCTTTACTGGATCACTTGCTGTCACATCATGAGGACACTCAGGCATTTTTCTGGGGAGGTCTGAACTGAGGCCTCCTACTGTTAGGAGGAGGAATGTTAGGTAGGAAGATAGACATTAGCACCTGGAAAAGGGGGAAGGTAAAGTTCAGAGAAGAAGCCACCCAGATAAGGTGGAAGGAAAAAGCCGTCCTAACTCCGCCCAGATAGGGGGTCTCATGCGGAGACAACAAAGGTTTTGCAGGGAGATAACTTCCTCCGGGACCATTTATTTGTGGCTTTTTTGAATTCTTTCATCAGTGTCTTACAGTTTTCAGAGTATACATCTTTCACTTCATTAGTTAAACTTATTCCTAGGTATTTTATTGTTTATGATGCTATCGCAAATGGGATCGATTTCTTTATTTCTTTTTCAGAAAATTTGTTGTCAGTATATAGAAGCACTATTGATTTTTTATGTTAATTTTGTATCCTGCTACTTTACTGAATTCATTGATCAAATCTAACAGTTTTGTGGTTGATTCTTTAGGATTTTCTCTACATATAATTGTGTCATTTGCAAGTGGAGACAATTTTATTTATTGTTATCTAATTTTTATATCTTTTATTTATTTTTCTTTACTGATTGCTCTAGCTAAGACTTCTACTACTATGCTGAATAGGAGTAATGACAGTGGGTACCCTTGTTTAGTTTCTGATCTAAGAGGAAAAGCTTTCAACCTTTCACCACTGAATATGATGTTAGCTGTGGGCTCGTCATATAAGGTCTTTGGTATGTTGCTTCCATGCCTAATTTGTTGAGTTTTTATCATGGTTGGATATTGAATTTTGTTAAATGCTTTTTCTGAATCTATTAGAATTTCCTTTTTAATGGTGAATGATTTTTCATTGTATGTAACATTTTGTTTATCTACTCATCCATGGATGGACAGTGACTTGCTTCCACTGTTTGGCTATTGTGAATAAGTCTTCTATCAATATGAGTGTACAAATATCTGTTTGAATGCCTGCTTTTCTGTAATTTTGTATATATTCAGAAGTGGGACTGCTGGATTGTACGGTAATTATATATCTAAATTTTTGAGAAATGATCAGAATGTATTTCACAGGAGCTACACTTTTTGTCATAGACTGTTTGGAAATGATCCTGTTTATGTTGCCATTAGCAACACACAAGGGTCCAGTTTCTCCACAGCCTTGCCAATATATGTTATTTTCTGTTTTTAAGATAGCCATCTAATTCTTATAAAGTAGTATATCACTGTGGTTTTGATTTGTATGTCTCTAATGATTAGCGCTGTTAAGCACCTTTTCATGTGTTTATCAGCCTTGTTTATCTTCTTTGGATAGGTATCTATTCAAGTCCTTTGCCCATTTTTTAATGGTGTGTTTTCTTTTATCTTGCACATACCACCCGTGATTATGGAGTCTGAGTTGGGTGTGGTGGGGGCACAAAAATCTGCTTGTCTGTATGGCTGTGGGGAGATAGACACAAGGTTTCACTTGCCTTGGACAAGCAACCGACTTGTGTACGAAATGAATGCTCATCATTGTGTGGAGTCTAGCGAAAAAAATAGGCAAACCACCTTGTTCTACTTTCATTTCCCCACAAAAGAAATATGGACAGATTTACTCAAGACTCATTCTACCCACACTGTGGGGTGAAGTCCAAGGCTACAGAAAAGTAATGTGAACCTAGTACTTGTAGTGCTTTCAGCAAAGACATGCCGAGCTGCTCTGTGTGGCGGTGGCCGGGCCGCCCTTAGCCCTCTTCCTGGCTAGGATTCATCCCCGTCCTCACCCCCATCCCTATGTTAAGTACCGTTTTGTTCACTTCTTCTTGTGCAGGCGGCTCTCCTTCCTGCCCTTCCTCCCCTTCCTCCTCCATTTGACCAGCTGCATCTCTTCTTTCCGTTTTCGGTTTTTCTTCTGCTTCCTCTGGTTCGGGATCAAAGTTGAAAGTAAAGAAGTTATAGGCTTCTTCAGCAGAAGGGAAGCCGGGTGGAACCTAAGGAGAAGCAGTGAGCAACGGAAATGCAGATCATAGAAATGGAAATGAGCTCTACCTGGCCCGCTGGTAGCTGGCTTGATGCTAATGGCGTCAGGGACGTTCTGGGCATCCTCAGCGTATTACTTTTGTTGAAGGTATGAGATCAGAGGTAATGGACTTGAACAAGTACAACAGGCAGCAGGTGGCCTTCTTTAATGAGTAACTTTAATGAGTTACTTTTTTATAAACCAGCAGTTCTTTACATTCCAACAAGCACAAAGATATTATGTGTAGCAGTAAAAGCTTTAGAAAAGATGATTAAAAGGCCAAAAGGTGGATTCAGTGTTTTATAGGCCAGTGCTGAGATAGTTTTGTTGAATAATGAGCAATACAGGGTTTATTATCTCTTTTTTTAAAAAAGCTATTTTATTTGTTTTGATTCTGAAATAATAACCCCCATTTTACCCCATGATGAAAGCTGGTGCAACGTCAGAGCTGAACAAATAGTCTTACTAACATTTCCTGACCTTCCATGAGTCTCCCTTCCCCAAATCAGGCAGCACTCTAATCTCTCCAGCTAGTTTCTAGGATTTTAAAAATAGGATCCTTTCTCGTACTTTTTCTTGCAAACTCCATAGTGTTAGGAGTCAGGTGATGTAGGCAGTCATCACTTATTGGATATTTTTGAAAAATACAAACACACCAATAAAAAACATGATTTAAAGCATGCATAATTGAAAACAAACATGATTTTAAAAGATGGAATTTCTTACCAGGGGTTTAGACTTCATTTTTCGTGCAGAATCCCGGAACTTCACTCTTGACTGGCTCTGGGAGTCCCCTTCCTGCTGAGCCCTCTGTACCTTTCCACCTGGCTGTATGAGTGGGAAAAAATGACAGATAAGCCATTTAAATCAAGAAACTAAGGATGGTCTAGAATAAGCATTAACCCTCAAAAGGCTTATCTCTGACCACTGACGCAGACCCCCCTTCCTAAGGAATGGAATGCTTATAAATGTTAAGTATATTTGAAGGTTAATGTTGCTCAATATTGTCTTAGCTCTGTCTCTCTCAAGACTAAACAGATGTAAAGTTTCATATTCAATAAATCCTAAAATGAAAAGTGTTCTTTCTCTTGAACATCAATAGATTGGTTCACAGAGGATCATTTCCAAACAGTCAATGACAAAAAGCATCAATAATGTCTGATTGTAAATAAATCTGACATCTACCCTCCAGGGTACAAGGCCTGTCCTTCTTGTCAGCCTCTGAGCCTGCTGTCCCCACTGGAGGCTAAGCCGTCTGCCTCTGTTGGCGGCAGGTGCTCATTCTCATTATGGACGGCCCTTCTCTCCTCTGATAGCCAATCCCCAGGTGCTGTTTCTACCTTGCCCTCATCTTTCCTTCTAATCCACCCATTCTAGAATCTAACCACTCCTTTGTACCGTAGCATGATCCAAATGCCAAGCCTTCCTTTTGAGTAGTCCTAAGCCATCCCAGAAATATATATCAAGACATTCATAATAAGGGACAAACTTATGCTACCTGTGATGGAAGCTTTATGATTATCATCTAGTTTGAGACTTATTTCACAGCTTGGAATAGTTCCATTATTATGCATGGGATATAGTATACCCAAACTGGAGTCCCTTCAACATACTCTTCATAAGTCCTGTTGGTTTTTTAAGACTGTACAAAGCTCTTACCTTTCTCATACTACACCGCCCTCAAATGAGCTTTCTCAGCTAGAATCTTATTATCTGAGTCATACTGGTTGCTGTTCTGTATGGTTTAGTAATCAAAGCCCTGGGTTCTAGAATCTGACTGTCTGGCTTTGAATCCCAACTCTACCACTTAAAGCTTAGACCACTTGTTTGAGAATCAAATAAGGCAATGAATGTGCCTAAAGCATACATATTGTTGTGACTCATTAGTAGTAACTATTGTCAATGTATCAGTTTTCTTCTTACATGTCTATCTTTCCTCTCTCTGGTTTGTATGTACTTAATATGACTATAAATGTTGTAGTTTAGCCTTCTAGACCAGAGCCTGAGGCAAGGGTTTTTTGGTACCTATGGCTTATTTTGAGAAGTGGCACCAAAGACAGGAGTTGGGGGCTGGGAAGAATAAAACAGGAGTGAGAGTCAATTCAAGAGAATGTTATTAAGCTGGTACTGCATGGGTAACCAGAATTTGATCCTGCTGGGCCCTTCTGAGGAGTCGTGTAGAACGCTTCTCAGAAGTGCCTGCCTGGGACATGAGAGCAATGATGATTTTGTATAATGATTATCAACTATAAGCTACAGGCAAGCCCAGGTATAAGGGACCAGATACCCCTTCTATCACTCAGACCACTTGACCAGATGCTGATGCTGAAATTTATACACCATCCAAAAGAGTTGAAGTGTTGGCATCAGGCTGATGGTATTTCAGGAATTTAAAAAATTATTTCCAATATTTTAAAATTATGGCTTTTACACTAAAGAAATGTATTGGAATCCAAGAGGAAGAAATGTCTCCCAGTAGAATAGAGTAGCAGCTTGTCATAAAGCCATTTCATTGGACTGAGTTCTACTGAAGAGCCATGAGCCGGGCTGTCATTTGCCTTGGATTCATGCAATTTTTGGCTTGCTTGGGATGAATAGGTAAACTTTCATAACATCTCACCATAGAAAAAGAAAAGGCATTATCTAAGATATCAATGGTTGTTTCACAGAAATATCTCGAATGCTTGTGTTTGTTTCAATGGCGAAAACAGTCAACATCCCTGACAAGTCTTTTATCTTTTACTGCTTCCTCTCCAACTCATGGGCCTAGTGTCAGTGTCTCTGTAAGGTCAAGGCCCTCCTCAGTCGGCCTTCTTTTTCTCAGGACACAAAGACACACTCAATGGGCCTAGTGTCAGTGTCTCTGTAAGGTCAAGGCCCTCCTCAGTCGGCCTTCTTTTTCTCAGGACACAAAGACACACTCAAAGCTTCAAAACTCACCACAGGAGACATGCACCCTCAGCCTGCTTCTCCAGGCCCTCCTCTGGATGTCTCTCTGGGGGGGGCTCACATTGAGATGCCCCATCAGCACGTCAGATTCAAGCAAAAATCACTCCAGTGCATCAAACCACCTCCCCATCTGGTCAGCACAGCTTGTAGCAAACAATTGAAGCTTCTTCATATAACATTCAAGGCCCCCATCACCCTGGGGACCCTACTTCCCAACCACACTCTTATTTCTCTCTCCACTTTGCAGCAAGATCTATGGGTTCAGTAAGGCGAACCTATGAGATAGCCTGAGAATGAGACAGAGCTGGGATCAAGTCCCGACTCCTCCACATACATGCCGTGACCTGGGGATGGCTTTGAAGCCACTTTGAACCTCAGCTTTCCCATCTCACAAATGTGAATGAAAAAAAATAGTGCCTACCCCATCGGGGTATAGGGTATGACATCTGATAACAGGAAAATAGACAAAATGCCTGGCCCCGAGTGGTGTTCCATAAATAGTAGCTCTTACAATTATTAATAAGCATTTAATGTCTCCTCTGTGCATAGCGCTGTTCGAGAAACTTTGGCTGGAATTTTTATATTCTGCTTCAGTGTCTTTGATTGTAAAGTGGAGATGGCCCGTTTCTCACCTCTGTACCAAATTCAGTCTCCACTTCTTTCTCATCAGGACTTCGTAGGCGCCTGGGCCGAGGGGTGGGGATTTCCTGCAGCAATGCACTTTCTGCTTTGGACTAAAAAAGTCACAGAGAAAATTACTGCCTACATGATGTCAGCAATGCTGTGAAACCCTCAGTCACTGTCCCCATAGAAAATAATCAGTAAAAAATCCATGGTAGGCTTCGTTAAGGGAGAAGAGCAAGTGACATAGTTGGGAAAAATTACATTAAATTTTTCTTGAGCATAATTTTCCTCTGTGAGGATGTTAAATACTGAATTAACATGTGAAACATGAAAAACAAATTCAACAATATTCAAATCTACGCAGCTCTGAGCAAACAAATGAGCCAGACAAGACCCGGAGAGCGGCAATCAGCACCCAGCAAAACAGTCACGGGGCTTTTCTCACCCTTGCGGCTTGTAATTTCTCCCTCATGCGCTCCCTCATGGAAAATTCTGCAAAGCCTGTTCTGGAAGCCGAAGGAATTGGAGGTAAGCCTGAAAAAATACAGGGAAAGTTCTTTAAAACCACATATTTTTTTTCCAAAGGGAAGATTAGATTAAAAAATAACATGAGAACGTAATTTTATTTTGCAAGTTTAGAACTTTACATAAGCAGCATGAGATAATGCTGACAACTGTCCATTTGACGTAATAAGCACATGTCTTGGCTTTTTTGAGACTGACAGCAAAAACCTCAGTCCTGCCAGGAGTGTCACATCAACTTAACTAAGAATAAAACAAATGACACTTGACTATTCAAGGCACAGACATATTTTCCAACTCAGTTGCCACTGGGAAGAGGCTTTCAAGTTTGTTGACTTGAGAAACAGGCTTATCAGGTTAATTTTTGGGTTCAGTGATTTTGGGGTTCAACTGTCAACAGCAAACTTTAATCAGAAACCCTTTTCTACAGGCCCAGGCCATTGCCCCTGGCTATACCATAGAGACAGCATGTATTTTGGACATAGTAAATATATACATAAATATCATGCAGTGTTGTGCAGCTATTGTATGCCAGATGCTCTGATACACGTGTTGGATGCAGTTTCTCATCCATCTCACGCCATCCCTGCCAGGACACAGATGTCATTCCACCAGGTACTTTGCAGGTGGAGACTCTACAGCCTCTGTGATAAGTGACTGTGTCTATGATCCCACACCTAGGATAAAGAATGCACGGGATTCGGTCCAATTCCTATTGTGCCCAGATGGTCCAGCCTGTTAGGAAAGAGGTGGAAGCACATCAAAGTGTTTGGGAAACAGGATGTTCCCATGCTTGGAGCACAAGGGCCCTCCTGGGATGAAGCAGGAGATGATTGCTGAAGGACTTTGGCGCCAAGTTCGGGGAGCCTCTCACGTCATGCGAAGGAGTCTAGAGTGTGTTCTCCAGCCCGTGGGCAGGGCTGAGCGTAGAGAGAAGGTGCACCTGACGTGGCAGGTGCAGGACAGTTGGGGTGGATGGGTAAGGGCCCAGGGGCCCCAGCTCAGATGTCCTGGTGAGATTCTAAGGGGAGGCAGTTTGGGAGCGACTGAGGAGAGGCCAGAAGCAGGAAAAGACATGTACCCAGTGGGAGAGGGAGGGCGGAGTTGGGTTCCATCCGGCAGCAGCTGCTGGGCACTCGCTGGGCATATGAGCTCTCGGTGCCGCCCAGACCTACTGACTCAGCACATGCAGGTGGAATGTGGCTGTTTGGTGGCTATTTGGTGACTCAAATGCACAATCGAGTTGGAGGACCCCTGGGTTAAGAAGGAGAAGGTGAAGGTGTCAGGAGATGACACAGATGTGAGTTTGTGTGGCAACAGGACAAGTTGCAGGTGCTCGCGGGATGTGGAAATGTGTGCTCTTACGACACCTGAGCTCGGAAAGGGGCCCGGCTAGAAGGAAGGCAGAAAGAGGAGGGTGCTGACATCTGTGGCCATCAGCACTGCCCAGGGAGGAAGGCTGACAAGTGAGAGGAAAAGACAAGTGGAGATGTCTCATCAGAAGGTAGGAGGGAAGCGGCAGAGAGACGGAAGGGCAGAGGCGACAGGCCACGGGTTTGCAGGCTCCCTCAGCATCTGCTTTATGTCAGAGGAGACGGTGACGGCCGGCGCCTGGCCACTCAGCTTCTCAGGCCGTGCTCCCCTCCTTTTGTGACAGGAAGATAGAAAACCCTGCTTACATCAGGCTCCAAGCACGCCACGTATGCAATGCCTGTGTGGAGGCGTGAGATATTGATAGTATAGTCCTGCATGTGTGGGCTGAGATTCAGTTTCTTTAATAGAATATCGATCAGCTCAATGAAAGGGCCTTAGGCGTTCTTTTTAACTCAAAAATATCGCATCATTTTCTATTTTAAAGGTCATGTAACTGTGGGAGAGCATATCCCCTGCTATACACACAGAGTCCCAAGACTTTTCCTATATCCCACCTATCACATTTTGACTATGTGTGTGTGTGTGGTTATAAGGTTAATACCCATTTCCTGCCTCGGGTGTCATGGTCCCCAGACGCACAGGGCAGGTGCTGAGGGTCACTCGTGCATATGGACCCCGTGGGTGGGTCAGGGAGGGCTTCCGGCTGAGCTTCCTGCCGCCCACTTACCCTTTCCTCTGGCTGACCACCCAGCTTTCTTCTGCCCTTTATGGTTAACAATAAATGTCTCTGAACCCACACAAAAATCTTGTGTATTTACTCCCTCTCCTTTAAAAAAAAAAGTTTTTCAAGTTTACTTAAAATAGCTGCTACCTATATGTGGCTCATTAGAATAATATAATGAATGATCATTAAACAAGAGACAGATATTTTATTAAAAATGATCTCCTCTGAATACAGAAATTGGAGAGGCTTGCTTAGTATTACTTTGTAAAACCTTGAAAAATTTGGAATGGTTAAAAGTAGTTTTTGCCCAACTTTTTAAAAAAAGTCTGTGCTAGTGAAAGACATTGAGAGGGTATAAAGATTTCCAAATCTGATCTGTCCAACTGGTTGGTGAGGAGTCACTTTCCCAGCTAGGATGTGACCAGCTTAAGGGCAAGGACCCTGCTGGGGACTTCTGTGCATGATACTTTGTAGCACTAAATCACTGAAGGGAAACATATAAAGGACCCACAAGGCTATGAGGGATATTAGGGTGGTATTCCAAACAAAACATATATAATCCTCATCTGGATGAAACCCGATGACGACAACTGTTTTTTTAAGGTAATATTACTAACATGATGTCCATGGAAAACCATGTGTGCTAATTCACTCCCTTTGACATAACAGCTAATAGGTGTTAAGTGCTTTTATTTTCATCTTGGTGGAATATGGAGAACGGTGTTCCTTTAAACAGCTAGAAGTACTCCAATGACCCTCCTAAAACATGTTTCCCCTAATTTATTCTCATTTACTCCAGTTACAAATCAGCTATGTGAGGCTAAACCATCACCATTTTTCCTGTCCTGAGGATAAGGACTGGTTTGCTAAGCTTGAGGAAGGGTGTGATTTACATAAACTATATTTACATAAAGAAGCTCCTTGACACAGCTAAGAAAACCTGGCCTGAATGACGTTTCTGCAGCATCACATGCAAGGAGTCTGGTGGAAATAATTCTCAAAATCATTAAAGATTTGATTTGGGGGGCATGCAATAACCTATGGATAATGAGAGGATGTCAAGACACCCATTAAAATGCATGAATGTTAATTAGTATGAAATACGGATTTCCTTGACAAAGTGATGTTTTTCATCAGCGGCAGCAAGGATGACATGCTCCACAGTGTGGCTCTGGCTGCCCAGCAAATCCGTTAATCCCAAGCCTTCATCAGCCTCATGTCTGCGAGGGGCTTCCAGCAATTTTGGAGCTCTGTTTCCTTTTCCCAGCCACCCAAACCCGCCATTTCACTCTCCTTCATAGATGGCTTCAAAAAATGGTGAACACGTTCCATTTTTCTCTTCACCACTTCACTGATACCTGAACCAGAAAATGCAACTGTCTCCTAATAGACAAGGCATTTTGAAATAATTTTCTCATTTTATGTCCCCGAGTTGATGGGACCTCATTGCCTTTAGGGAGAAAAGGGTTTTTCTAAGGGCCTTATTCCGCCACCTGGAAGGCCTCCCTGCTTACTTCTGCAGAAATGCCCATGCTTCTCACTAGGCCATTTTTCTGTGAATATCATTGCCTAGACCAGGGCTCTTTGTATACCCTGGGGAATACAGGGACTTTCCAAGAACTTGACATAAAATTATAAAATGGGGTATTTGAGTTTGGCTTTGCACTGGAGTCATCTGAATTCACATGGGTTATAGAATAGGGGAGCATAGTGCCGATTCTTGTTTGAGGATTTCCCTCTTCCACCTTCCTGCTCTAGTTAAAGGATAGCTTCTAAAAGGTTTTATTTCTTTATTTTACTTTTTATGATTTACAAATATTTACCAAATTTTATAGTATCTTTATGTTTTCATCAGTTGTGTGCTATTTTATTATAACAATAGCTCAATCAAAAGTTCAGTTTGTTAATATGATGAGTGATAAAAGACTTTTAAGCCCAGAAATATATTATTTAAAATTCTTCAGTGGGGGAGTTGAATGAAGGAGTCCAAAGAAGAAAAGGGAATGGTAAAATTTCCAACTGTTCAGAGAGCTTATGATTTTTGAAATAGGTGATGGTGGTTATCAAATCACTGGCCCATTGAGAATTCTTTTAGGTAGCTTTAAGAATGATACACAATTTTATTTCAAAACATTAATATGCCCAATATGCTATAGATGAAGTCTTTTGTATATTACTCAAAAGTACGATACATTTTTTTAAATGACAACTTACACATAAGCACAATTCTTACAGGGCTAGTGGACAAGAGGGTTGGGAGGACTCTGGCCTGAAAGCCTCTGACTGCCACCTCTCCTCTTCCTGTCGTAAATAATTTTCCCCTTGCTGTAAAATTCCAGGGGTAGAACATCAATATGGAGCTGGGGGGAAGGGAGAGCATGGGGCAGAAGCCAGCTTGAAAACTGGAGGTAATACCCCCAAGACCAGAGAGGAACAATGTAGTGAGCTGGACAATCAGCCGGACGGTCACCAAAGCACACGGGTGTCAGAACACGGGCTCTCCTTGCAGCCCCTGAGCCGTCCGGGAGCACAGGATTTCCTCTGGCAGGGTCGGTCCAAGCACAAGGAAGGGTCTTAAGGTGACTGGTGGTTGTCACTGGGTTATAAGAATGGGAAGTCAAAACAGGCTGAGAACAGCAGGCTCTGCACTGGGGTTTAAGCCTCAGTCCTGCTGATGGTTCACCTTTGCTCCTTGAGCACTTTTTCAGGAGTTTCCTTCATAGTCTCGTTAACATTACGTTTACGTGACCTGAACACTGGAGGCGTTTACTCTAAGGCATAAACCTCCTCTGACGCAGGGTGCTTGGACCGTAGGATGCTGGCTCCGCCCACCGCCCCTTTCTGCTTTTTTACCGTTCAGCACACCACCCGGGCTTGGGGAGTGTTGTGGACTGAATAGTGATTCCCCTGCCTC